TGCCTGTTTTCATCAGACACTGTGGAGTGTTCTTTGGCATGAGATCTGAACTGCTAGGTTTCACAACTTTGAAATCATATTACCTACTGTTTCTAATGGTGATGAATCGTCTCTGAAGAAATGAGTATAATTAATACCATGATGGTGTTGCCCTAGCTCTTCTGTCATTGTGCATTTCTATGAAGATGTTTATATGCATTATTGTTCTTGGTCCTTTAAACTCCATGTTATTTTCCTATATGTTTTAACCGGCCATCTTCTATCTTAGCACAAGGCTTAAGCAGGTAGTCATCCTCTGTTGAATTTCTTTTGCTCCTTTGTATTTTTACAAGTGATCAATATTTCTCCATACTTCCCCATCCTCCTCTCCTTCTCCAGGTGGAACTATCATCCAAAGCACCTCTCCTTCAGACTTGGACCATTTTCCTGGCAAAAGAAGAGTGTTCCTGCTAACCTCTGTGACAGCTGAAGTGTGGATGGGAGCCTTTTCCTTGCTTCCTGTAGGACCCTCCCTTTGCACCACTGCAGACTGTAGCTGTGCAGCCATTTTCATTAACAACTCTTAGGATCAGGCCCATGTTTGTGGATATTAAGAAACTGAGGCTATCACTTAAGAAAAAGCATTGGTGAATACTTATCTTCCTTGGGGCTTCAAAATAAAACTTCAGACTTACAAAGTAGGGACGGCACAAGTCAGAGAGAGTAAACCTTTAAAAACAGAGTTCAAATCAATAACGATTAGCATTTCCTAGCCTCTATTTTCCAGCTAATGACTGGACGAAGACAGGTACTAATTAGAGAAACCTCAAGTGTCTGGATTCTGAGCTGTAGCAGATGGCACTGTGTGAGAACTATTCATAGAGCCAGGGAGAAGGGCGGGTTGTTCTTAGCTACTGTTCTTCTATCTTGAGCTTGTCTGAGGATGCTTACATTTGACTGTCATCCCCCCACCCCAACTCCCTGTCCTTTGATTTTCCTCTGGTACTGTCAGGGGGTGCCTTCTGCCATCTTCACTGAGGACTCTATGAGGAGCTTATTTCATTCGTCAGATTTCCTTTCTTACCTGTATTATAACTTGATCATATTGGACTTCCAAATCACCCTGTTGGCTCTTTCTGGATGTGTCTCAAGATCACACAAAACTGGGACCATCTTCAGCCCTTTGCACAGACACCATACAGATATTTCTGCCTATGCTGCTTTGTTGTCTTTGAACCCCTCATAGATTGTCTGAAAACAGATTTTCTCCTTTTGCTTTGTACCTCAAACATTTGCTACCAACCATGTTAGCCAACACCAGAAAAGTCTTGTTTGTACAGAAGTGTTCAGCAGTCATGTGTTGGTATTGTTTTGACAAATACTACACATTCATTTTCTACAACACAGAAATCAGCACTACAAAGCATGGAACTGATTATGTTTAACTGAATTGCTGCTTTATAAAATTGTCAACTAGGGCATGTTTGTTGTGGAAAGTCATAATTTTTCTTAGTCATGAAATTTGTCTTGATTCCACAAGTTTTGAAGAAACTAATTGGTGGAACCAGAAAAACCCAATAGTTACTGTATACTCTTGAGATTTCCAGTTTAAGTAAGGATCACTCTCTCTTTTCCCTCACTCTTCATTATTTTCCTTGATACTGCTGAAGAGTAAGTTTGGCAGACACATTAGGAAGCTGGTTTTGTAATTCCAGCAAGAGATCTGAAGGCCAGGCTGACTGGAGTAACGTTAGGTATGGGAAAGAGTTTGCATTATTGTCACCAAGATAATAATAGGGAAAAAGGTTTCTGTATTTATTTCCTAGTGTTGGCATTGATTTTTATAGCTTTTCTATGTTCATATTACCATGGCCCATTCTTTAGGTCTATGTCTGTAAACTCTCTCACATGCTTCATTTGTTATGCTTCCTGGTTTGGGAAATCATCTATTTAGTATCTCTTGTGCCTTTTGAAAACATTGCATTTATGAGGACCTGGTGACAGAATTCAGTGGCAGAGTGTGTGTTTAGCATTTGTGAGGCCCTGGGCACTCTACCCAAGTCCCCAAACATTTTTAGGTTTCTCTTCTTAAAAGGGATACAAAAATATCTTTCACAGAGCTAGAGATATGTGAAAGTGTGAGGGCCTGGTCTCAGTTCCCACAGCCCAGAATTAAAACCCCTGGGGAAGATGAATGTTTGTAATCCCAACCCTGGGAGGCAAAGACAAGCAGATTCCTAGAGATGTTGGCCAACTAGCCTAGCTACCTGGTCAGTTCCAGGTCAGTGAGAGACTGTTTCAAAAAATAAGGTGGGAAGAGCCTAAGGGATGGCACCCAAGGTTGTCCTCTGGCCTCTGCAAGCAGCCCCCTCCTACAGAAATAATTTATACAGCTACCCAGAGAGAGGAATTATTAGCATGTCATTGTACTTATGCTTTTCATAGGACTAAATATAGTTGTGCTGAAAGAAAAGGATAATTACCCTGAATTGATTAGTACAATATGCAAGTGTCCAAATATCTACCATTTTTGCAATTAATATGTTTATCGAAAAGGAAAAAGGAAAATGATGCAGTTGTGTTAAAGTATATATAGTTGCTTGTAAACAAATCTTGTATTTTCATGAAACATTACATTGTGAGATGCTATCCAATATTACAAAATCATAATATTGTTTTGTTGTGTTAGGATGCATGGCATTTATTTCTATCAATTCCCTACTTTTGAACATTGATGTTGTTCCTGACTTTATAATGAGTTCTGTGGTCAATATTTTTGCATAATAAGCCTTTATATATATATATATCTTCAGTATAATAGAACTTCATTGAAGACTTAAATAGAAAACAATGTAAAGTTATGAATGCGCTGTAGAGGCTTATAGTTGCAACTTGGTTCTGACATAGCAACAATGCTTTGCCACTCTGAATGACTTCCAGGTCCTTTTAGCATGGTTCCTGCTTTGTAGAAAAAATGTCAGGACAGGGACTGGGGAAATGGCTAAGTCAGTCAAATGCTCTCTGTCTAACATGAGGGCCTGAGTTTGGATGCCTGCTAACCATATAAAAGAGTCAAGTGTGGCAGCATACATCTGTACCCCTTGGGTCCCTGGAGATCACAGGCTAGTTGGCCTAGTCAAAGTGATGAGTTAACCAGTTATAGGTTCAGTCACTAATCTTACCTAATAAAAAGGGGGCATTGAGAAAGACACCATTGTCAATTTCTGGCCTCCACATAGACAGGTACATATATGTATGGACACCTATACACATACATGCATACACCCTCACAAACATAGTACATATAACACATACATAGAGAGAAAGAGAGACGGGAGGAGGAGAGAAGGAGGAGGAGGAAAGGGGAGAGAGAGGGTAGAAGGAGTGAGAGAGATTATGAATGATAACAAATATGAATATACCCTGGAACACCTGTCTTCAGCAGAGAAGACAAAGTATAGGGCAAGAAGTCCTGTCATTCCCTAGGGAATGACACAGGGCCCCCATAATCCTCTATTCTTCTTGCTTGTTCCCAGGTCCATCTCCACACACTAACTCAACTTGGATGTCACATGATACCTCCCTGGCATTTTAATTTTGCCCAGATCTTTCTTATCAGAAAGATAGCTCTCACCTAGTGTCCTGGTGTTCTTCAGCTGCCTGGGGGCATTGTGTAATAACTGAACATCTTCTGTAATCTGTGTTACTTCTCTGTGGCAGGAACCTGATGAGAGATGGGAGAGCAGAATAGCATAGTGAGGAGTGAACTCCACAGACTTCTGGGTGGTTTCTTTAATATTTTAGATGGCAAGTTCAAAATGACTCTCCTTGTTTAAATAAGTCAGCTCATTTCAGAAAATAATTATTTGCTTTAGGCATTGTATTAGATTTCTGTCACTATAATAAAAGATTTGGTAATTACCTCATGAAGAGAAAAGGATCATTTTGTGCTTATGGCTTTGAATTGCTCTTTCATGACCAGACAGGCTCACTGCCTTTGGGCCTCTGGTGGGTACTAGATAGTAGTCATGGGGGCATATGTGTTGGAACATCCCGCTTTCCTCACTGTGGTCAGAGAGCATAATGCACAGGTGATGGGAATATAGTTCCATAAATTTAGCCTCCCCATAGTGACCTGAGGATGCCCCAGGTCTTTTCACAGATACCATGGCAAACATCCAAGGGTCAAGCCACAGCAAGTATGACATCCATTAAGCTGATTATGCATTTGCCATGAGAAAGCTAATTCTCTAATCAAAATTAGCTTTAATCAGAATTTGATGTTGAGATTAGTTTTTCTTGACTCCTTGTCATTCTTAGTTCATTTATGTCACAGTGGGAAAAAAAAGAATCCTAAAATAGCAGATTAACTTGGGGACATTTTATATTATTGCAGAATGCCTGCGAATGACTTTGATTTGAATCAATTTGACTATTTCTAGTTATTACTTAATAATCCGTTCTTGAAATTTCCATATTAAAATCAATTATCCATTTTTGAGTAAAATTATCTCAATGATTACAGTTCTGTCACGATTCTGAAGTGAACAACAGGAATAATTCAAAATGGCCATGAATGGCATTTGCATCTATATTTAACAACCACTTCAATTGACCACACAGATGTTGTTACAGATTTTTGTCTTTGATATGATAAATTTCCCACTAATATTAAGGAGTGTGCTTTTGAGCTTTGCATTGCTGAGCTGCAGTTAATGAGAGTCCAAGCAGCTGCCCTGATGAATTTGATGAATTTGTAACCAAAGTTCTTTAGGAAAAGACTGAGATCTGTTGCTTTATGTCCTACATTTGGAGTCAGACATACAGATTTTGGTTTCTTCTCAGTTGTGGGTTTAAAAGGTATGGTATATATTGCATGGCCTTATATAGTTACATATCCATATTATTTATACTGTATTCACAAGTGGGACATGAATTTGTATCTTTTACTTTTGAAAACAAAAACATACTCATTTTAAGGTATGACTATCTTACTTAACATTTTATCCCTTTTTCTTTAGGTTGAAGAAATTGTAGACATTGGATCATTTGCCCCAGAAGATATCCACATTCCAAAGATTTATGTACATCGCCTTATAAAGGGAGAAAAATATGAGAAAAGAATTGAGGTAATTTACAGAGGTTTTTTTTTTTTGCCATTATGTTTGGATCTGGTTACCAGAGACACATGTCTCTTAGGCTATTCCAGGTGCTAGAAGGTTGGAGCAGAGAACTTTTACTCTGGGTCTTAAGTAGGAGCTTCTGGTGTGTCCATTGGAAAGGAAACAACTGTGCTTCTGCCCAGTGTAACAGTGTCTCCATGTCTTGTGATTTTTGTAGGCTATCATATCTGCCAGGATTCTGCAATGGTTGCAATTTATGAACCCTGATTTTGGATAGCTTTCTTAGAGGGTAGAGGTGAATAATTAGGACTTGGATGGCTTTACCCCTATGAAGTCTTAATGCTTGCTCAGAAGTATCTGTTTTGAAATAGTTCTCTACTTCTATAGAATAAAGAAAGAATTAATTTTTAACTAGCTTTGAGCTATGGGCAGATGATGAGTATGAAGGTGTCCAGGGGTTGGGTACTAAGGTTTTTCTACAATGACTGAACTACCAGGTCTCAGTTGATGTCAAGATTCAAAAGTTTCTAGGGATAACACCACAATAGATATATATCAGGGGGTATTGGGTGTCAATAGATATAGAGGAAGGGGTATTGGGAGTCAATGGATATGTAAACAGGGGGTATTGGTTGTCAATATATAGACAGCAGGGGATGTTAGGAGTCAGAGCAAACGGCGATATGCTGTCCTAGACTGCTATCATGTGCCTTGAGAGCTAGGATGGGATATTTACAAACAAAGCAGTCTGTTTTAAGGAGACTTAGTAATGGGAACTATTCTCTGTTTGTTTCCATGATTCCTGTGATCCACACATAGCAAAGCCCATCTAGACTCTGCAGGTGGAAATAGGCAATCAGCCTCAGCGCCACCTGGTAAACCCATTCTGACAGCCCCAGGAAACAGATGTCCAGGGCCTATGTCTTTTCTTTTATTCAGGCCCAGTTTCTGAACACCTGAGGAGAATTCAGCTGTCAAGCTGTAGGTAGAACAGTGCAGTAGTCAGAATGGCAATGACAAGTGGATTGCTTGCTCCGCAATGCAAGCAGGTCTGTCTTTCCCTTCAAACAAATCTGACCTGCTTTATTTACTTCCTAAAGAATGATCTCTGTCATGAAACACCACTTGTGCATTATCTTTTTTTTTTTTTTAATGCTCCATTGTATTGTAGACTTGCCTCCTCCTGGGAACGAGGGCTATGTTTTTCTGCAAATTTTTATATTGAAGCAATGAGAAGTTTGAAAGCTGATCTTAAATGTGAATAATTTGTTTCTACTTACTTTGAAGCGTTTATCACTCCGAAAGGAAGGAGATGGAAAAGCCAAATCTGGTAAGCCTGGAGAAGATGTCAGGGAGCGGATCATCAAGAGGGCGGCTCTGGAGTTTGAGGATGGCATGTATGGTATCCTTTGTCAGTCTCAGCTCCACCAAATGTGCAGTCCTTGCTTTGCCATGGTCAGCAGACTATCAGGCCTATGCGTAATGATTCTCGCCTAGTTCACGTTAAGTTTAAAGGTAGTCATACTTTACAAAATGGGATATGTAATTCAGGGTTGGCAAGATAGAGGAAGTCGATGTTTATGATCTATTTGCCTTCTTGATGGCAACTAAAATACACTTAGTAATTGTTGAGTGTACTTTATATTTTTTTGTACAGTTTGGCATTTAGCTAGAAGTTTGAGGAGGAGCTATTTATTATTCAAGATGAGGCTTTAAATCGTAGAATCACTGTTGTAACCGGTGCTGTTTGTTTTCTTGGTATTCTGACATTTGATTACTCAGTGAACCATAAAATCCCACTTCCTAGCAAGCCACTACTTTCTTTGAAAAAGACCCTATCAATGGACTCTTTTGCCAGATATTTTGTTAAGGTACTCAACCGAATAATTCAAATTTTGAACCTCCCACCTTTCATCTTTGGTAAAAAATACCAGAGTGGACATGATTTAGTACAGTTAGTACCTGAAATTTGAATGCACTATTTAAATAACAATGGCACTATTTACTGTTTTGCTTATTTTTCAGTATATGTTCACCATTTTGATAATTTTCAGTACACTAGATATTGAACTATAATGCACATATAATGTATAATAAGATGAACATTTATGGATTTTTTACTCCAGTAAAGTTGTATTTATAGACCTGGAGCAGACAGAATTAGGAACTATGCATTCCATGAGTTCCCCTTTCCTATGAGTTGCAGTTTTTCCCACTGTCTCTTGACTGAGAGACTTTTCTGTTCCTCCTCCTTTATTTTCACCTCTACCCTCTTTATTTCTTGATTTTTTTTTCAATTTGCACTTATGCTATGGTGAGAATTCATCTGGAGTAAGAGAGTATGGTGTTGGTTGTCATCTGTCTTCTGCATAGGCAAAGGAGGGAGTCATCCCAGACTGAGTGGGTATTAGGCACTGGGCTTTTCTCAGCTGAATCACCCTTGATATATATACACAGACCACATCACCCATTCCATATGATAATGGCTCCTAGGTGTTGTTCTTTATTCACTATTGCTGCATTGCCAATGACAAATGTCTGTAACTCATCTCACCATATCTCTATTACCTACCTTAGTCAGCACTAAGTGTGCATGGCCATTTGTTTCCTGGTATATGTCCTCCTAAAATACTTTGTTTTTATTTATTTACTTTTTATTGAGACAGGGTCTCTCTAAATAGCCTTGGCTGTACTGGAAGACACTGTGTAGGCCACTCTAGCCTCAAACTCACAGAGATCCATCTGCCTTTGTCTCCTGAGTGCTGGGATTAAAGGAGTGCATCACAATGCCCTGCTTCTTACTAAAGTATTTAAAAAGTGATTCAATAATCAAGCATGAAGAAGAGCTTAGGTTCAAGGTTTGCAACTAGGGTTGCGCTTACCTGAAAATAGTTGTCCATAACAGAATTAGTATACATCATGTTCTGTCATGACTGAGAAATGGGATACAAATTACACTGATATTTGACTGTGGTTGGTTAGACTGTGAACCAAGTAGCTGTCAGTGTAGTTTCACATACTTTCTATATCCACAAAAAGTGACCTGGGCCACCACTGTTTTATACTTTTGGCCTTGGTAGTTGGTAATTTGATGTTATATTTAAACTATGTAAATGTTTCTCTCTCTCTCTCTCTCTCTCTCTCTCTCTCTCTCTCTCTCTCTCTCTCTCTCTCTCCCTACCTCTCTCTCTGGCTATGATTCAGAATACCATTTTTTTCTTTTAAGTTAGTTTTGGTGAGGTCTTCTTTTGTAGAACAATGGAGAAAAGATTTCTGGTCTGCTTCTTCTGCCCTGCCCTGTTGAGAGCAGGATTAGTCTCACACCATGAAGAACAAATCAGCATTGACCTGCTGAGATCGTGTAAGGGACAAGGTCCCATACCCTCAGGTTGTCCTTTGGAATGCTATGGTACGTGGCCACTTTTCCTATGCCCTCAGAGTGTTTGCTGAGATGCATCCTCCCCTCTTTCCTGATTATGCCTCAGATATGTTTACCAATGATATGCCATCAGAACAATTGATGGACCTGAAATGACAGTTTGGTCTGATCAGAACTCTTTTCTTTAAATTCAGAAATGATACTGCCATTTTGGAATTTTAGATTGTCTTTCTTCTTAATGAGGGTTTTGTATAGTGAAAATAGTTTTTAAACAAAGGTCAATCCATGCTCAATGATGACAGTCACAAATGTATTAACCCAAGCTTGCTGAACACATTAGTAAAAATAAAGTATGACTTACACTATTGTTAAAATGACCTTGGTTATTTCCTGAAGCCACTCCTTTGATCTTTTGATAAAGCATATTAATGTTATTAAGACAGGGACTAAATAAAAAAATAGAAAAACAAACAAAAAAGACAGGGACTAATCAGAGATTTTCTTTTAGGAGGATTATCAATGAGTGCACAGAGAATGTATTCAGTTATTATATCCATAGCCATTTTCCTCCAAAGAAGACTCTCGTTCTAACTTATATGTCCAAAGACTTATAGCACCATCTCTGCTTTTACTGTGTTTTGCCTTAACTTCTTCCTCCCAGCTAATTTGGGTATAGGGATACCTCTTTTGGCCAGCAACTTCATCAGTCCAAATATGACTGTTCATCTTCAAAGTGAAAATGGAGTCTTGGGTTTGGTAAGATGACAGTAACTTCTCTTTAACTATGAACTATAGCAAATGATATTTGCAGAAAACTCAGTATAATTTTCCAGTGTTTTATTACTTATCAGTAGACCTCTACTGTTATTGTGATAAAATTATAATATACCTCCTGTATAGATGATGGCCACAGATATGTAATAGATACTGATTGGCTAAGCCATCTCCTGGCTATTTTCAGAGACACAGAAATGCTGTGTATCTGGATAGAAGCAGATTCCTATTGAAGTCAAAGATTTGCACTTTAGAGGACTCTTTGAGGTTGTCTAGAGTGGTCAGCTTTTTCATTTTGAAGACAAAAGTTTATATGAATTATCCATGTGGGACATTGAAAGGGAAATGGGCAGAATCCTAAAACATTAGGTGTTAATTCAGTTTATTTATAGGATCATTTCTAGTCCTTCTTTTGGGAGTATATTAAAAATTCATAGCCAGTATTCACTCATTCTTAACTGTTACATCTTTTCTTTTCTCTCTTTCTCCCTTCCTGTTAGTATATGTCATTACATAAAAATGCTTGACTCCATTCATTTCACTGGAGTTATAAAAAGGAATACAAAATTAGCTCAAGGTTGTAGCTCAAATGCAGTAGAAAACATACATAGCATGTGAAGTCCTTGTTTTGATTTCCACCAAAATATACACATATATACACGTTTCTATGTGTATGCATTCATACATACACATATACAAACATGTACAATTACATTTTTTAAATATTCTACTGAGAAGAACTCAGCAAAGGGAACATAAGGCTGCCCATGTGTAGATACAGGGAGAAGTAAAATTAGAATCCCAAATTCAGACCTCCAAAGTGTTGTATACCAAAACAAAAGAACTGCTGTTCCAAGTCTTTGTAACCAAATAACACAAGTGTAGGTGGCACTCGCTGTCCTACCAGAAGAGGTTGTAAGTAGGTTTAACTGGGGCTGATAGGCTCTGTGTAGACCAAAATGTGTGATAATAAGACCCAAAAAAGATTACAAACTTGAAACAAGAGATTATTTTGTTATTGTTTTTCTTTTTTATTATTAAAATATAATTTTCACACAACATATACTTTTAAAATAATTTTAATTTTTATTAAAAATTGATTTTTATTCAATATATTTAGATCATGATTTCCTTTACCCCAAGTCATCCTAGATCCTCACTACCTCCCCACCCACACAAATCTACCCCTCTCTTTTTCTCATTAGAAGACAAACAGGCAAATAGGCAACTAAAAAAAAAGAAAACAAGCAAACAAACAAAAAGCCCCAGATCAGAATAGGACCAAGCAAACAGAAAAAAAGAGTTAAAGAAAAAGCACAAGAAACACATACAGATGTAAACATACACATACTCTCTCACACACAGTGATCCCATGAAAACACAAAATCAGAAAAAAATAATATATAAACAAAAGATCTTTAGGGCTTAAAAAACAAAACAGACAAAGCATTCTGAGATGAAAACTCTCCAAAAATACCGTTGGGTACATTTTCTGTTGGCCATATGTGGCTGGGCATGGGTCTTTGCTTCAGTGTTGTCTGTATACCTGGTTAGACTTGTTTGGAGAAAAACTAATTTTTCCTTTGTGAGCAGTTGTCAGCTGAAGATAGCTCTGAGTTAGGGATGGGGCTTTCATGCAATATATTTTGATCTCTGTCCCCCTTCTTCCAGATGCTCCCCACCCTTATACCACCTTTCTTCCTCTCTAGAAAACACCAGGCAAAAAAACAAAGCAAAACAAAAACAAATAATAATAATAATAATAATAATAATAATAATAATA